ACAATCTTTGTCTTTAAGGAGCTTATAGTCTTATTATTTTGATGTAGTATGTTACTCTATTGAACAGAATTTGTTATATACAGTACTAAATTTTAATAGGTATAACAGAAACATATTTTGTGAAAGTTTATTTTACCTTATAAACTGGAGGTTGACAAGCTCTGGTCTAAGGAACAAATCAACCTGTCACCCTGTTTTTGTAAATAAAGTTTTAGTGGAAAACAGCCACACTCATTTGTTTACGTATTGTCTGTAGCTCCAATGGAGGTGTTGAGTCACTGAAGCAGAGACATATATGGCCTGCAAGGCTACATGTATCAACTATCTGCCCCTTTACAGAAAAATTTTACCTATTATGTATTATAGAAAATACATAAACATAGAATTGCTGCTAAATATCTAGGCTTCACGGAGATTTGGAAATAGAACTTGTTAAAGACACTTTCATTCTGTAAAACCTGTGTGTATGTGTGTGTGTGTATTTTTTTTTAAATAGTGTTTGTAAAGAGATATTTTTCCACTTCACATGTGTAAAAATCATTATTTCTCAACGTACTGTTCAGCTGAACAAAAGCAATTTGCGCAGACACTGCCCCCTTCTTTATTTACTCACGTGGCACAGGGGGCAACTCCATCTCCTTGAGACAAACAGGGTTCTTTTTCCTCAAGTTCTGGACACTCCTTTTCACCACCAATAGGAAACTGCCTGATGGTACGTGTCCTTACACGAGTGCCTGTAGGGGACGCTGTATCATGACACGTTTTTGAGCACGGGCTCCATTCTGACCATTCAGAAACCTGGCACTCTTTGGTGATCACACAGGACTGGAAGGTCATTGGCAGCTTCTCTTGCTGGCAAAAGCTGCAAAAGAGCATTGATAATTTCACTATAGACTCGCAGGCAATTATGAAGGTGTCTTCTCCACTCCAGAGCGCAATCAGCTTGGGCATTTTTATTTTTACTTCGGGGTGTGATTCCAATTTCATTGAAAATATATCAACATTTATGATGTGGAAAAGTAGTTAGACTCAAAAGTAACAATGGCATTTCCTCCTGTTTTCTAAAAGTTGTTAAACCATTCATAGGAAAGAGAAAATAAAAGGGATTAAGCAAAATTAGCTGAAGCTACATTTACCATATTGTTCATTTTACTCATTGCAGATTTATTTTAATTTAGAAAATGAGAAACC